AGTGCCTTATGTCCATACTGGGAGATACCTCATCCAGTAAAATCATACCTACACCAGATAGGTCCCTTCCAACTGAAATAGTCTATTCTATTCTATCATTTTATGATGAAAATAGGCCATTTTGGAGCTCTGTCTTAAATTTTTCAGAAATGTTATAGGTGGAGAACTTTCTAAAAGATTGCTAATAAATCTTGGACTGTAGTACTGATACAAGCTACCCTTTCTGAAGCCAGGTATGTAGTTTGTAGGTGTGTAGTACTGTTTTGTAGAGCCTTTCAGAGAAGTCCTGCTTACACAACTGTACCAGAGTCCACTAAATTAGAATAAAATTATTCTTGTATTAAGGAGATTCCTTCCCAGAAGGAGCTGGGGTATTGGAAACTGAAGATACTATTCTGTGTACATGCTTATCCCCTTCCCCTGTGTTGTTTTCAGCCATATGATACCAGAACTGTACCTGGAAATTAAGAAATCTAAAAGGAGAAATTAAGCTTATTTTGTAGGATTCTTTGCTTAAGATATGTTTTTTGTGACTCAGAAAGCTCCCTGTGGGTTTTGAAATAGTCCAGGCTGGGGACACTGCAGAAAACTTATTTCTGCTATACTTTGTAATAGAAAGCTTAATTCAATATCTCTGGGAAAATCCAGAAACAATTTCCCTTGCCTACAGATGTGCCAAAAATTGTATAAATTTGCAAATGATTATTTTTCCCTCTTGGGGCATCTCTTCACAGTAGATTGTCAGTTTTCGCAGAACCTCATAAGTCTGCCCAAAGTATCCTACAGTGAAAAGGATAGGTAGTCATAAAAAAAAAAATCAAAAGACAAAACCCCAGCAACTTAAAGCTGTTCTGCTGAACAGATGACTTATATGTTTTATTTACAATACATAACATGCTTTAACAGGCTCGGTCTCATTTGTGAAGAGATTTTCAGGGTTTAAGCTTTACACTTAAATGTCAGAAGAACTTAAAACAGACATACTATATTTTCTATTTTTTTTAAGCATGATACAGTCCTATACTCTCCATATGTTCCATAGGTTTCTACTAGAGAGAAGGCAATAGTATTAAAGTTACTGAACATCGGGTATAGCCGTGGAATACAAGATAAATTTGCCTTTTGTATTAAATAGAATTCTTTAGAATGAAGCTCAGACAAATGGTTGCAAATATGAAATGTTTTATCTTGAATAGGTAAATGCTCTATCTTCTACTATTTTGAATCCACTGTCGTACTTTTCTTGAAGTGTTTCAGGATGGTTTTAATTTCTGTTACAGTTTAATTTCATTGAGTGAGATTTGTAAAGGGGCAAAGTACTTGCACCACCTTGTCCTGTTTTGCTTTTCAATTTTGTTTGCTTCACTGTCTTCATTTTCATCAATGTGGTCACTTAATCTAGATGTGTAAATTTCAAATTCTACTTGTGTAAGAATTGAATTTTTGAAATATAATGCTAGTTGTGTATCTATTAGCATGATTTACAAATTTCAGATTTGGGAAAATTAATTAGCTGTAAGACAGCATGTGGAGAAGTTGCCAAAACATTTGGCTGTGTACACGGTAGTTTTTCTAAAGGCAGTAGTCACAAATGCAGTCATTCATCACCCTGAAGTCTGGGAAATTCAGAGGCCATCAGGTGAGTTTGCAAGTGTGCTGTGTCATCCTTGAAAGGCAACAGAGGAGAAAGGCAAGTGTTGTACCCACCTTCAAAAAAGGCCAGAAATACAATGTGGGGAACTAGAGGCCAGTCAGCCTTACTGTGATCTGTGGGAAAAATTACGGACCAAAACGTCTTGGAACGCATTTTTTGACATATGGAGAGAAGAAATTGCCTGAAAATGCATTTTTGCCTGACTGAAATTTTTGCTTTGTCAGTTGAATTGCACCAAATCTCCTGTCATACTGCATTCAGGAAGCTATTATATAGAAGTGCTGCATACACTATGAATACGTCAGTTATCCAGAAGTTAGAGGTAGGTGGTATCCATAGGAGAGCAGTAGGAAGTAGCATTTTAATGTTATGTATGATAATTTTACACTGATATGAAAGGTAATCCTTGTGTTTTGTGTTGATTGCAGTTTTGTGCACAGACCAGTGTTTTTTTCATTTTCTTACATAACTCCTTTAAATTACAAAGAGATGGAAGACAGGTATTGCCATGTAAATGTCTGGTTAAAAAAACTTAGATTCATTTAGCAAACAAGGAAAAAATACTACCTATTAAATCAAATCAGATGCTTATTGGGAAAAAAAACGAAACCAACCGACACCATCTGTATTGCATCTCAAATGGAAGTGTGCTGAGGTTGCAGTGTCACTGTAGAACACGTAGTGTTTATCCCTGGAGTCACTTATACTGCCGATACAGTAAATTAATAAAACTGTCAACCTGATGTAGCAAAACCTAATATCTGGAACTGTCTAGTAGTAATAGTTAAATTTTCCTGCTTACTTGATTAGCTCCTGTTGTCTGCTCCAAATTTGATTTGTCAGTTACTCTCTACAACTCCTCTATCATCAAATAAAACCTTAATGACTTTCCTTAAATGCTTAGCTGAATTCCGATATCCACTGTTAGGAAAATAAAAATTTGTTTTCAGCCATTTGCTGGTTATAGGCAGAGCCAATAACTTGTTAAAGTTACACAGTACCTCCTCTTAAACCCCTGGGTTTTTTTGTTTTAGGAATTTACAATTTTAAAACATTTTTTTAAAGATGAGTTGCACTAGAGTGTCTCAGCATTTTTGTTTGTTTGTTTTAGGGGTTTTTGTTTGTTTTGTTTTGTTTTTGTTTTGTTAATTTCACTGGTGAAGACACTTGCAGGTTGTCCAGGGTGAAAACAGCTTCATCAGCAGCAGCACTTCTATTTTTCTTTGAGAAAATAGAAGGTAGCATAGACAACTGCTTTTAACCTCAGAGTTGATGGAAGTTCAGCCTGGATAAAATCAAGATGTTGGCCAAAGCAATCAAAAAAATAATGGATTTGAGACTTTTTGATTTATTACACCTTTTAGTTATTCAAGTTCACAGTCTAAGTGAATAGCAAATTTCTGCTAAACTCCAGGAGCTGCATCTCCTTGTTTTGTTTAGTTTCTGTGCTTTGTGAGCTAGAAATATGAAGTTTTCCAGTCACTTATACTTTTGGTGACATCCAGTATGGATTAGTCTTACTTTGCTGAGTAAACAATGTCTACATAAGTATGTAAAATTCAGACTCATGTTCTGGACATGAGTGCTTTGCATTTAGTTTCCGGATGAGGTACAAATACTTGCTGTTCAGAACAAATCATTTTACAACTTAGCAATTGAGCAACTGTGGTGTCTTCATGCTTCACCTTGATGTTTCAGAACTTCAGTATCCTTTAACAAACCACGTACAGAAATAATCCTATTAAGATTACAGAAATGATGAAGGATCAACCGAGACTTAGATCTTGCTATGCCACGTTACATTAAAAGAGTGTCATATGGCCTTTACTTCAAAGAACCTATAGTCTAAATGAGTAAAAACAGACGTGGACTTAAAAAGTGTTACAAAGCACAGCAGAAGACAGGAAAAATGGCAAGCACAAGTGTCATTGACATGGCGTTGTCTTGTTATGGGTGTGGTTATTAGGAGTTCAGATTAAATTCAAAAGAAAGGCCTGGGGAAAAGGCTGAGGGAGTCCTGGGCAGTGAGAGGAGAGAGTGCTGCCGGGGGTAAAAGTAAGCGGAGAAGAGCAAATGTCGAAGAGGAGGGAAGGCTGGAGGAAACCGTTGGTGCATAACAGATATGATCCAGTCAACTCCAAACGTTTTCAGTGTGCAGAGACCACTGGTTTAGTTGCTTTTTACAGCTGTCCTTGCTGCCTGGCATCTGTCCCATCCCTCCCCCAGCAGTGCGTCGGGGAGGGGTAGGGTATCATTGGGGTTCCTGTACCCCAGGGATGTGAGGGGCTCCCCAGCCAAGTCCAGAGCCCTGCGGCCTCTGCCAGACGTTGTGTTCCCCTCCTTGCCGAGCACAGAACTCCCAGATTTAGCTCCTCCTGCAACTCCTCCAACCATCTGGAGTCCATGCCTCCTTCAGAGCAGCAGGACTAAAGTAGAAATCTAAGAACGGGGTGTGTTTGCATCAGTTCAGACTACTGTTGTCGTCTTTTTTAAAATTTTAATTAATACTTCTACATCTGTGTATCTTCGGGACAATAATCTAAATAAAATTGAATGTTTAATATGTTATTTTATGCCATTCTGAAATAGCTTTTAAAAAACTTGTTAGAAGCTTTAAAATATTTTGGCTCTTTTAAGCTTTCACACTGGAAAAATCTAAATTTTGAAATGCATGACTTGTGGAGGAGGGAAGAGGCTGGATATTTAAATGGTGGTGCATCCTTTCCCCTTTTGAAAGAACCAAAGCACACTGCATTTTTAATGTTGATAACTCCCCATTAAAAACTTTAAATACTCCTAAATGACTTTAACTTGCTGAAGGACTGCCTTTTTCTTTCAGATGTGTTAGAATTCATATTAGCACTACTTTGCCCTTGTTTCTGAATTATTTTAATGACTCCAGCCGCTCCACCAAGCTGTCTGTCAAGATGTGGGTGGCAGGCTATTATTTCACTTCATAAATCATAATTTACAGGGTTTTTTATATCCATCTTGGGGATAAACACTTTATGCTTTGTGTTTTCAGCAGCAATATAAAATGTAATTGATACTTCAAGCAATATGTTAGAAATATGGACACAGAAAGCACGGAGAGAAAAATCACAAATGTTTAGTTTTTCTGTGGGTTGGTCTACATACTGAGCATTTTTTCCATCTGATTTCATTTTCTTAGCACTTCAACAGAGGATGATGATGAATTACATTTACATGATTGCTGCCTGTAGGTTACTATAAGGATGTTTCTTTAGTTACAGACACTCAACAGATCAGTTAGCTCAACAGGGTCATTTTGTACTGTTTCTCGTGCTGCTAAATATACTTATCGCTTTGTGCTATTGTCTTCCAGATTCATGAAAAACTGCATTATTATGAAAAACAGAACCCGGTGCCCATACTCCACGGTGCAGCAGCCTTGGCAGATGATGTAAGTGTCCCCTGCTGAGATCACTGGTACCAAGTCTCCCAAAAAACTGTCTGCAAGCAGAACTCCTCATAGTGCAAACATATGAATATAATCCTCTGAGATGAAATCATAAGAAGCTGCAAATGTTTCCAAAGGTGCTGTCATCACCGGGCTTGTTGCTGATATTACTTTGATTTTTATTCACTTGCCTGTTATAAAAACATTGCGTGTAGATAGCCTCTTGTTCTGCTTTAGTAACTACGTAATAGAAATTACAGGTTGGAACTCTACTGGGAGGGGAAAAGCTGTCAACTATTAGTGTTTTGAGAAAGTCACAGACAAGAGGAATGCTTTGGAAAAATAAAGACAAATGAGATAGCAGCACTGCTGACAGAACATGAAAAATGACAGATAATACTACAGAAATGAAGCATATGAAATGCCTAGGAAGGAGGCTTGTTAAAAAAAAATCATAAACTATTTAAGAAAAAGTACAGTAGTGATTTATTGATATTGGAGCTTTCCAAATTACCTTCATAACCAAAAAATAAATTGTAAAAGTGGTCGGCATTGATGGAGTAGTTAATTTCCTGTTACTATAATTTTTATTTTAAAGAAAAAAATCCAACCTGCCATTTCTTGCTATTTGGTTAATTCTAGGATTCAGATGAATTGTGCACACACCTGTATAAACTATGACTGAACCTGAGGTAGGCCAGGATAGAGAAATGTTTAATAAACTGTGGTTTAGGTGAAATCCAGAAATCGTTGTTGCAATTGATGATCTCAGGTTGTTTTTTGGAAAAGGCAATATGTATTAGGATCCGCTTCAATTATGGCATGTTTGAAATTTCACATGCTTTATAGATGTTGTAAAACCTTAACTATCTTTTTATATAATAAATAGCTTTTGATTTTTAAACTTTAGAAATGGTTAGATGTTGTGAATTGAGAACAGTAACATTTTAACGAAAAACTAAATTAAACATATTTGAAGTCTATTGAAAAAAGGATATAATGTAATTTACTCATGTTTCAGTAGGAGGGGAGCTATATCCTGTAACATACCAAATATAATAATGCATTAACTTTGACATCAGGCATATATTAGTAATATTTTTTTAACCTTCAAGTAGCTTTGAATAATGTTGATAGTAATTTTGAAAATTAGAAAGCTGGTTGAAATTCTCTTCATTAAGTTCTTGGTGACATATTAATAATCCTTGTTAACATTTGTGTTATGGATCTCTGGGCTAAAATTCTTAATAAGAATCATTTCTTATTTTTGGATGCAAAACTTAGTTCTTGATATTTTCAGGAATGCTGAGCAATCTCATTCTTTGTTCAGCCCCATTTAAAATGTATGCTTTTGAAAATCCCCAAATTAAAGTACTCTGTCACTCCTCAGTTGAGAGAGGTTGGGGTTTTTAACTCTATGAATGTATTATTATGTATATAGGGTAGTATTTTTAAAATGTACATATGTTGGGCCATGAGTGTCTCTAGATACCTGCCTACTTTTCAAGCACAGCTTCTTTTTAAAGATCCTTTTGCTGGTTCTTCGTTTGTGCTGGTTTTATGGGCACTGTCCCATAGAATGAGGATGCCCTTTGGCAGCTGAAGTCAGGCTAGCACACTGCAGGATTTTCTGTGTTTCAATAGTTATCAGCAAATTTTGAGGAGGTTAATTTACATGCAGTGGGTGTTTTAACTCCAAAACCCATGGAGTTCCAGGATTAAAGTGCTATTCAATTTTTGGCACATTTGTCTGACTAGTTGTCAGCTTCAGGGATTTAAGAGCATGTTGGTGATACAAACCACACTTTCATTTCAATAGGCTTTAAATTAATATTTTGTTTTCCTAGTGATAGTAACTGTTACATAGTTAAACAAAGAAGGAGATATTCTTATTAGCAAGTTAATATTTCCTGTTTGATTTAAAACCCAAATTTGAAGTGCTGCTAACATAACTAAAAACTGTTTAAGGAGTGTGTTTTTATTCTTGTGTTATTTTTTTTTTTAAAGCCATTTTAGAGGTAACAATTGTGGTAAGGCTTCTTTTCTAAACATTTTCATATTCCTAGCTGCTATACCTTCTCTCTCCTCACCTCCAGTGACTTTCAGGCTGAATTTCCCATCAGAGATTCTGCTTGCCTCTTATTTTGGAGCAGCAGTGTCTGACGTAGGACTCTTGATTTCATGCAAATGTTCTAAACATTGCTGGCACTATAGGTATATACAGCAGATAAGGCCTCTAGGTTATTAGAAAGACTGTTCTGGCAGAAGAAGTTTCAGAACTTTCTCCAGAAGCTTTAAACCCCGAGGCCCCGGTGCTCCTCACCTCGCCAGCCTCACTCCACATCTGCCCCTCTCCCTTGCTTTGTTTCCCCCTCTCTATAGTGGCAGCTCTTCATAAAGAGCTTGGTGAAATGTTATCGTTCCCTCAACAGAGAATCATAGAAGAGGTTCTCTGACAGCTTTTCCTGCAGTCTTTGGCATAGGAGGTGATCGGCATGGTATCAGTGTGCCCAAAGTATTCCATATAGTTTGTACTGCTGCTGGTCGCTGTCACAAATCTCAGCACTTCAACAACAACAACAACAAATGAAAATCGAGTCCAAAACTGCTGGAAGCACAACAAGCAGCTCTGGTGATACCTGTTTGCTGATCTGGAAATGTGGCTTTGTCTTCTTCCTCTATCAGTCTTCGGTCTTCCTCCTCCTCTTCTATGATGGGGTGTGACGTGTCTTTAAGACTTTTATGGAAATATTTGGAAAAACCTTGTAAATTATATAAATGAAAACAGATTTTTGATGATTTCATCTCTGAACAAATATTTTTCTAAATTATGAGATTAAAAAGTCTGTTAAAGCAATGACTATTTCTTCTGTTTCTCACTGTTCTAAACCTTATGTACATGCATTTATATTTGCACCACCAAAGCAAACGCCAGTTCTGCTGAAGTTAATAGATGCTTGTGCACAGTTCATCTGAGAGAAATGCTGAAGCAGTCATTCTTACTGAGTGATTACTAGTCTTCATCAATGAAACATGAATGAATAGATTTTATTCTCTAGTGGTGAGTAGTACAAGCTAAAGAATGAAAAGACAACCAAGGGGAACCTGTGTCATAGACCTGCTGTCATTCATATCACAGATTATTTTCAGCTTTGCAGAGCTTTTCCACAGAACATGCAGACTAGACTGCAGCCAGATTACCTCAATACTTGGCTTTATGTGCCTAAAATATTTCATTCTGACCTTTCCTACAGAGATCATTTTCTAATCTTTCAGTATTAAGACACAAATATTGTTAAGATTAGCACTGATGTGTTTGATGGATGTTTTTATCTATGAATTATAGTTAAAAGGCTGTGGGACTGTAGGTGATGAATTTTTGTTTCAGTCCTGTTAACCCTGTATTAATTTGAAGGTTAAAGAAAAAAGTATTCAAACCATGTCTGATGTATATAACAGATTCTAGAATTGTCTATTATATATAATTATGCAAAATATTCTTCTATCCGTTTATCTTGAAAATTTGTACGAAATGAACGTACAAATTTAAAATCAGGCTAAACGAATAAAATTACTTGCTGCAAATAACCAGTCTTTCTTTGAGACATTTTTATGATACTGATTTAATGCAAAGAAAATAAGTGATTATCTGAAATCACGTTTTGGATTATGAGCCATGTAGCTTCAGAATTTTAAACTGAAGTTCAGCGTTGTGAAATATGTTTTAGCTTTCCGTTCTTCTGGAAAAATAGTTCGAGTCTGAAATCCTGCAGTAAAATATGCCTCTTGAGTCCAAATTAGTTGAGAATGTCATGATAAGAAAAACTCAAGACGTGAGCCAAATAGCCATGGGATTAAACGTTAGACTGCTGCTCTATTGTTCACCAAACCACAATTTTGTAGTATAACCAAACATAAATTTTACTGATCTTGTTGTTAGGACATAGTTTGTGCATTTCAGGGGCTTGAATTGCTGATGACCTGTTATAAACTATATTATGATTAACCCACTTCACGTTTAACAAGCTCCTTCCAGTGTATGTGTAAACATAATAAAAGGTTCAGATTGCTTGCACTGTAGGGGCACTTTGCTTTCTTATCCCAGTCCTAAACAGCACCGCTACTGTGGGTTTTTGGAAGCAGTGTGGATTTCACCACCTCATTCAAAACTGTTTTTTATAGACAGTGTCAAAGTTTGATCCAGTCGTTTTTACAAGCAGTCCTTTGTCTGCACGCAAAGGACCATTCACTTAAATGAAGTGCTGGGATTTGCCCCCATCGCTATAAATCAGAATGTGATCTGGCTGCACCGTTGCCAGAAATGATTACTTGTGTTAAACAGAGCCAAAAGGCCTGGCTTAAATCTGGTCCGCCGAGGGCCAGAAAAAGAAGCGCGGTGATTGATGGTGTTTTTCTTCATGCTGACTTCTGTTTGAACACGCTGGAAAGTAATAACCTTGAACAAGATGGATTCTGGGTTGTCACCGATGCACTGGGTAAAACAACGCTTTGCTAATGGTCTTTGTGTCAATTCCATCTCCCACCCAGCTGGCTGAGGAGCTGCAGAGCAAGCCACTGAGCAGTGAGATAAGAGAACTGTTGAAACTCCTCTCAAAACCCAATCTCAAGGTGAGGATGCGTTGCACCTGCAAAGTGCTTTCTGCATGGGTGTCTGCATCTGCTTCCTCGGGCTGCCTGGGGGGTCTGTCTGCTTTAACGAGTATGTGTGCTTTTAAGAAGGGACACAATGTTAATAGGAAATACCTGTTATGAAGAAACACATTTAATGTTGCCTATAAATTATTATGCTGTTACTGATATTTATGAAAGGAATTCAGTGGAAAGCCATTGTTTATTTACAATGGATATTCCAAAAAGTAGATACTTGATTTTTTTTTCGTCTTTTGCTAACTTTTACTGCATGCGCTTCATAAATTCATTCCAAATGTGCTTTTACTAGAAGGTTTTCAGTCATACCATTGATTTAATTGCACTGGGCATAAGTAACACAACCTGGTACTTGGAATAAAATTCCTGATGGATATTTAAAAAAAAAAAAATATCTAATTTTGAAAACTCCTGGGGTTCTCTGTGGTGCTTTTGGGGAACTTGATACCTTTTATCTGACAGTAGACTATAGAACCATTGAACCACTCAGGTTGGAAGGAGGTTGTCTAGTCCAACGTGCTGCTCAAAGCAGGGTCAACACTGAGTTCAGAGCAGGTTGCTCAGGGCTTCCTCCCATCAGGTCTCAAAAATGCCTGGGAACAGACATTCCACAAATGCTCTGTGCAGCCTCTTGCAATTCCTGATTATCCTCCTAGTAAAAACTGTTTCCTTATATCCAGTCAGAACCTCCCCTGTGTATCATTGTTAATGCACACTATCACATTATTTTTCCACTCTAAAAAGGAAGACCTTAGTGCTCTAGCATATTGCAATGATAATTAAATGCAGCAGTTGATAAGTTTAGAGGAAAACTGTAGAGCAGAAAGGAGCCCTTTTAAAGACAGCTGCTTCTTTATATTCCCTGTAAAACACTGATCTCAAAACCTGAGACATTAGGATATCTTCAAAGTGCTACAAAGTTTTAAAGATTGATTATGCCTCTTTTTTAAAGATTTTTGCACAGTTGGTTATTCCATAGTTTCCAAAGTGACAAGCTGTTTTTCTCTGAAGGGGAAGGCAATGCCGATGGTTTATTACAAGAGGAACTGTTGGTGCATCAAATTGCAGAGATCCTAAGCTTCACTGTAGGTGTTTCCTTAGTGACTGTCCCCATGTGTTTCATACTTCTGAAGCTTTAGTGGACTGAGTCTGAAGACAGCTTGTTTGCCACAACTGCATTTCTCCCTTTTTTCTTTTCTCTCCCCCCCCCCGACCTCCCTTGCTTGCTTTCTCTTATTCACTCACTCTCGCTGTCTGTTCCTTGGAAGTGGTTAAATGCAATATGATAATCGTAGTGGGATTTAAGGAAAAGAAGTGCTTTACCCTCAGCGTGGTTAATATGATTGAACAACTGCAGTAACTCAGCAAATGTCTTGGCTGTAGGAAGAGATGGCCAGCTGCAGGGTACCAAGCCCTTTGCATGGCCAGACTGCCTAATCCTGCACAAGAGACACACACGTTTCCCTGCCCTGCATAGCTTGCAGGTGTTTGTGTGAGTTAGGGGAAAGAAATGACAGTATGCCTGATATTTTTGCCTATCCATTATCTTCTCCATCCACCTTCTCATGGCAAACATGCATGGGAGAGACGGTAAATTTCACCGCTCCCTCCTCCGTCACGTTGACCAGACAATGTGGGACTCAGTATTTCCAGTTCCTCCCCAGAGATGCCCTCGAGTCTGCTCAGCTGTATCCGAGCTTATGCCATACATTGCGTAAGATTTTCTAGCCCTTCACTATTAGGTTGGTGGCTGGAGAGGGTTTCTTTGTTTCTTTCCTTCTAGATTCCTGGGGCAAAATGATGTCTAGAACA